CAAAATATTCATACACTCAGATTAAAAAATGTGTTCAGACTGTGGATTTAGAATTTCCAAGATGGAAAATAAAAAAATACGGATCAACTTGGGGCTCCATGACCATCTAAAAAGAGACCTACAACAAGATGTACCCTAACCAGGGTAAACAAAGTGCTGCATATTGTAGCAGGTGAGAAGCCATGAACATAAAGGACAGTGTCAAATGTCAACAATGTCAACCAGGGAGGATCTTCATCTTGGAAAAGAAATAAAATGCACATGTATACTGGTTGCTACCACAACATACCAACTCACCTTTTGCATACTTCAAGCAGTAGGAAAATAAAATGGTATAATCATACTATACCATTCAAGTTACTGGAAAAAACAACTAAGAATTTTTTGAGTGATCAGGAATCATTATCCATATACAATAGATAGCTTGTGAAAATAACGCAGAGTGGTGTGCTTTGTATATGACAGTTTTATTACAGAGCCTTTTGCAATAGAAATTATGTTGCAGGACTACTGTCAAGATACATGGTAATCACATACAGCATTACCAGAGGGAGGGGAGGGGTGAAATTGGCTATAACAATGTGGTTAGTTTCCAAAATAGTTTTACTATAACACTAGCCTCCCCCATGTCGCTTCGCTTGTGAATTCACTGTTTCATATAATAAAAAAAATTAATGTCTATATATATATATAAATCACGTTTACAACCATTAACACACACAGTTCTGGCATTGATCCTACTGTTGTGTTGGAATGAGCTGAGAGTGAAGTGATAGTAAAAGTTTGAAATTTAGCAACAACAACAATTGGTCAACTTTGTTAGGGTTTGCAAGAGTGCCAGTTGGGCTCCACTCAACCCAAAGTGTGTTGGGACAAAGGCATTGGCGAGGGACAGAGAAATTATTTTAGTATATGGTGGGATTTTGAATCTCTGTAGTATATCTCATTTCTAATTCTAGTTGTCTGTCCATCCATTTAGCTTATCTCAGTTTTATTTTTAAATTTTCAGTAACAATATGAATTCCATACCAAAAAAATGTTTCATCTTGAGAAAAGATTTTCTAGTACCACATTAGAACATGAATACCAGTTTGACAAGTTAAGAAATTAATAATGTAGTATTATCATAATCACCCAGTTTTTTGTTTTTGTTAATATACATGGTATTCATGCATGACTTGACATTTTCATGTTTTAATAATTTAACATGTTTCTATCACTCACTATGAGCATAATGTTCTGTTAAAAACTAACAGATTTAGCTAGACATGTATCAAGAAAACAGGCTCACTATTACAAACCAGTTCTACTCGCTAGGCACAGCAGCTGTAGCTGGACATGTATCAAGAAAAAAAGAGAACAGGCTCACTATTACAAACCAGTTCTACTCACTAGGCACAGCAGCTGTAGCTGGACATGTATCAAGAAAAGGAGAACAGGCTTATTATCATAAACCACTTCTACTCACTAGGCACAGCAGCTGTAGCTGGACATGTATCAAGAAAGGAAGCGAACAGGCTATCACAAACCAGTTCTACTCACTAGGCACAGCAGCTGTAGTGGACATGTATCAAGAAAGGAAGTGAACAGGCTATCACAAACCAGTTCTACTCACTAGGCACAGCAGCTGTAGTTGGACATGTATCAAGAAAAGGGGAACAGACTTACTATCATAAACCACTTCTACTCACTAGGTACAGCAGCTGTAGCTGGACATGTATCAAGAAAAGAGAACAGACTATCACAAACCAGTTGTAACTACAGATTTAAAGAGAAGTGCTCAAGAGTTATGATAATGAAACAAGGATAAACTGTCTAGACATTTAGCCTCTTTCTTCCACTACTAATGGTATTATATGAAACAAATAACGTTTTCTACCACTGTATGAAACTTTCCCACAATACAATGAGGTCAATGTTGTCCTTCCTCCTCTTTACGTGCTTTTCAATGTCTATTAACTGTGTATGGATTATATTTCAAGCTCCCAATTTAGGAAGAAGTTCACGAAACATATCTTCAAATTAAACACACAAATTCCTGTTTGTACTTGTATTTTTTTTCATAAACTAGCATGTTGACTTGGCTGTGTGGCTAGATGGTTTTTTCTAGGTGAAGCCACTTTATTGGCACCCAATCTGAAGATGGTATTTCCTCATGAAATAGTTGTTTCAGCATGTTCTTGAGTTTCTGGATTTCTAACTGACCATTATAGCTGCAAACTGTAACCATCCATCATAAATCTCTGAAATAACTTCAATAGCATGTCATGTGTCACTTTTAAAACTTTGTACCACCAGTAGAACAATAATAAGTTGCCTGGACTTTTGCAGACAGTTAAGAAAAAATATGTTTCACCTACTAAGATAACATGATTGTATTTTTCATGTGTCAGACAATGCTTAAACTGATTTTGACAGTTGGCTTTCCATTTGACTGTCTTATTGAAAAAGCTTGTGAACATAGTTTATGTATCACTTTTGTAGATCTAAATATCAATGGGAAATATCTTGTTTATGGCCTATAAGATTTTCCTAATTTAGCAGAAATGGACCTCTGTGTTCTTGGACTACTTTCAGTGACAAGCTGTTAAACTTTTTCATTATCCCCAGTATGCAATTGTTAACCAGTCATGGAAGAACCGTTTTACCTTGCTGAAATCTACGCCTTCCCTTGCTTTACTAATCCCATTTAGCACTACAGATATACCCCATTTTTTTCTTTAAGTTTTGCATGGAATAGGAAAACTTTACACTATAAATCCTGTAATATGACCCCACCCACAATAACTCAATTTTAGACACCACTTGTAAATTACCAAACTAGAATTGAGTTGCAACAAACAAGTCAGGCCATAGCGATGACAGGGGAAAATTAACTGTGTATAGTTGTTACAAAAGATCATGAATAAATATTATAAACAATGTATAATATAAATCAGTTTTTCTTGGACACGTATTGTATTAAAAATAGAACAGGTCTACTATTAGAAAACAGTTACTTACTAGGTTTAGGAGCAGTAGCAGGACATGCATTAAGAACAGAACAGACAAGATTGGCATCAGCAACTATAGCAAGTAGTCCTAAAATATCATCTCCATGTTCAACTACTAAATTGTGGCAAGAATTGGCCATTGTTCCTGGTAGCATCTTACAGGCTTCTTCAACCAGCTCTTTTATTTCAGCCTGTTTATAAATGGAAATTATATCTCACAGCAATATGGAAAAAAAACATTTTTTTGTTTCACTTAAAAAATTTTTATTATTATTTATAATGGATATTTATAGCTTTTTGTATTATCTCTACAATAGTTACTTGTTAATGCAACACGATGTCTCAATTTTTTCACCATCACTGTATACCTGTAAAAATTTGTATATTTTATCAATAAAAACTAATTTAAGGATGTGTTTTGAACACTTAAAATGGCATTTCATTTTCACTTCAAAGAGCATCAAGAAGTAATTTTCGTGTCATAGAAATGGGCTTACTTCACTTTTTACATTCTGCAGTAGTTGGTGAACATACTGTACAGTCCAGTGGCAGGTCTCACATTCCATCTTCTTTTTGACTTCATCTTCACCTGATAGGAAATAGGCTAATGAAAAATCTCACCTAAACAAAATTTTACAGACCCAAATGTTTGTGTAAATGTTTTTCTATTGAATAGATGCTAATGCACAAAACTCTTTCAAGAAAAAGAAATCTACAGGTTCTGCAATTTGTTATCACAATCCTTTAATAGTTCAAAAACACTAAATTAAGATAACGTTTTTTTTCTGTTTTTTTTTAAGAAACTATCTTATAACAAAAGTTTGATGCAAAAAATGCTATACATTAGATTACAACAATTAAACAATGTCTGGATGGAAGGAGAGAAATTTATTCAAACCACTCAATATTCTGTCAAAACATTACCCAATTTAAGACAATACCACACAGTTTGAGAAGATTAAATGTAGGTTTTTTTAAACACAGCAAACAAGTTCTCTATAGTGTCTACAATTAAGGTTATGAAAATCAGATACAATTACTGTCATGGTTAGTAGAATATATAATTACCTAAGTTTTAATTATAATTAGTTAGTGTTTTTTTTTTGTTCCTGAATATTTTAAAAACTCCCTGAATACAATAGTACATTATCGAATCAAGATGTAGGATGAAAAAATATGTATATAGTCTGTCTTAATATTTATAATAACTGATTAATAAACAAACGTTTGGATAATATAGGCAAGTAACTATGACAAGTGTTTCTTACACTATAACAAACTGTAATTTATTCACTGACCAACCTGGGCAATAATCAAACAACGGACACATCACGTGTGGATCTAGACCAAGTGATAAGACTGTGATAGCAGAATGAATATTTTTATCCACAAATTTCTGGCATCTTTCCAAGACTGATGATGGAAGAACTGTGCACATTTTGTCAAGTGCTTTTTTGATATCATCCTGAAAGACAAAATAAAAGTACAGAAACAAAAAAAAATTTTTAACTTTTTTTGGAGATCATAACAAGGAATAATAAATGACAGCAAAGTAAAATACACAGGGTTTCTTTGATGTTAATAATAAATTTTTCATTAAAAAAAGCTTTTGACCATTATACTGATTTTGACTGGCTGCAGCCTATCAAAAACATTCAATTAATAATGTTGAAATACCCTGTATATTTTATACTGCTGTCAATTACACTTTGTTTCACATATAAAATTACATCAATATTATGCCAAAACCTATTATACAATCTAAATCTTTATAAACCACCAAGCTTTAAGCTCAGAACTTGCTAAATGAAACAAAAAAGGATCAATGAACCATTACTTTTTTAACCAACAACTGTTTAAAATTTAAACGTTAATTCTGTATCATATAATTATCAATAGAATGTTAGTGGTCCTCTGTTTACTAAACAATAACATTAAAATAATTTTACCACAAAATACACAGGTTGTTCACAATCTAAGGTAATAATTTGCATATTCCACCATCATTATGCCCATAGTTATTCTCATAACTTATAACTGCATAGGTTAAAAACTCTTGCCTTTCTGTTTCATTACAGTTGAAATACAGCAATTAAAAAGTTCAGGTAATAACAGTAAGTACGTACCATCTCTATTCTGATTGGTGCTAAATAAGGTATGGCTCCATCAAGAAAGAACAGACCAATAGCCAATGATCAAGAACATCACAAGTGGTGCAAGAAAAAAAGCTCTAGGCATTCATCTTCATAACATTACTATGGTTCATGAACACAATTCAATATATAAGGCATTATTAATTTGTCTTTTACAATTCTAAATTATCACTAAGTTTTAACAAACAAATTAACATTTCTGCACATACAATTTACTGCAAACATGCCACTGTTTCGATGTGTGCTGATGCCTTTTGCCTACCTGTGACCTTTGGTCTTCAAGCTCTGTATGTAACCATTCAGCAAACAGATTACAGGCTTCACATTCCACTTCATTCGAATTCAGTTGTTTCGATTCAACTTTCAAACCTTTGTAAACATTGAAAATTTTCCATACTTAAGGAAAGTTTTTTTTAAAATCTGACAGCTTACTACTTATTATTTGTACTTAAAATGCTCAGAAATACTTAATGTCCATTTCTGGAATTTTTATAATAATATGAATGGTCAGAAAAAAATACCAATATAAAAAACAAACTGAAAAACATTTTAACAGACAAATCTTAAGGTGTCTTAGCTGGCAGAACATGACATTTAGTAGTAGTAGTAGTAGTAGTAATATGGATACAAGTTTTTACTTCACAATAATACTGAAAATAATTTAAAATCACATCACTCTTTATTAGCCCAATACAATATAGGTTTTCAGTAAAAAAAAGACCGAATAACAGTATTTTAATTATGCCTTTTTGTTGTACAGCACTACCAATAAGATCTTTCATCAGTACCCGAGCTTATGCAACCAGTCTGATGATTTTTGATATTGTCAAAAAGGCATTGCTGACAGCATTGCAACAAATAAGGTATGATAGACAGGCTTTTAATAAAGTTGAATGAAAAAATCAATAAAAATATATATGGTGTATTCCATATAATAAAATAATACATTAGAAAATTAACTACTAAAATGTGAAAATTTTTTGAAGCTTCTTTGAGGAGTTTTTCAATATTTCAAAGAAGAGCTAAAAAGGAAAGTCAGCTTTTCAACAGCTTTTTCTGGGAAAAAAACTTGTAACATGGTAGACGTTTTTTTACATTTCAATTGAAGTGGAAAGTTTGGAAATTATTTAAATGAAAGTTTATTAACTTCTGGTTTTGAAATATTTTGTACAAGTTTGTGTTACTAAAATTGAGAACACACAAAACAAATCTGGATATTAACACATTCCCACAGATTTTTTTCCCCAAAGTCTTACTTAGATGATTTCAAATGAGCAATAAACAATTTTTAATGTGCCAGCAACATTAATTAAATCTTAATACAATACTTTAAGAAATACCTCAAATGATTATGCATGTATCACTTCAGTAATTTTATGTTTTTGCTTTTCATAACACTCGCCATAAAAAACTGATCAAAATATTTGGTGAAATTACTCATTTTCTAAATAAAATAAATAGGGGATTCAAGCAGGTGCTAGTGAGATTATGTTCAGTAGTGATACCATTAAATTTACATTTTTGGTATGACTCAAGCTATAAGAGATTCTGTAACAAACAAAGTGAGTAAGAAAAATTTAGAAAATGTGTTTAGAATGCCTATATGGACCTCCATCTCTAAATCGAAGATTTACAGTATGATATATAACTACACTATTTATTCCAATTATTTCAAATTTAATGTAACACACATTTTTTTTGTACATTCAAACCTGTAAGGCTTTTCACTTTACATAAACATTATTCTAAATATATATATATATATATATATATATATATATACCTAAAAAAGGTGTATTATAACAAAGTTACTATTTTCTCTGTATTTGCTAAAGTTACAATATACAAAGTTTTTCTTTCTCTATTTGCTACAACATACATATATATATGTATTTACAAAATACATAATCCTTTAACTATGTCAACTAAGGATTATTCAATGTGACATTTTCTACAATTCAAAATGCTCATATAATATGGAATTAGCCTAACATATATATTCTTTTATCCAATGTCATACCTGATGAAAAAGAAACATTTGCAGGGCAAATGTTCAAAGCTGGACAGACAACACTGGGGTCAATATCTTGGGCTAAAATGACCATTACTGAACTTCCATACATATCTACAAAAGACTTGCAGGTTTCACCTAGTGCACCAGGCAAAATTTCACAAGCTCTATCAATCACTGACTTTACTGCCTCCTGGACAAATAAGAAAAAAAGAGAAACTCTTGAACCTGATAAAATTAATGTACTTTTTTATTAAAAGAAAAAAATTATGATATTAACAATAATATTAAAGTCCAAGTACTGTTTTAATACACAGAAACAAACTCAACTTCTGTGCTATACCATTTCCACAAGCTTATAGAATGACAGTTAAACCTACTTTAAACTCTTCATAACCAGCAGGTTTTTAAAAAATAACATGGTGCTTTCTTCTATTGAAATGTGTAATGCACTGGGTAATATTTTAACATAATGTGGCACATTGTACAACTCATGATGGTACAACACAGTAGAATACCAGAAGTTTGTTATCATATAACATTAAAGTTAAAACACGTCAACATTATCAAGTGCAGATCATTTATATGGAAACTAAAAATGCATGTAAAAAAATTGTTAAAATTTACCTGATTCTTTGCATCATACAGTTCTGTTTGGATAAAATGAAGGATATACTGACACATGGTACATTCCACTTCTCCAGTAGTAGCTATAAAGGAAACATGTTTAAACTAAATACACTTCTTTGCACATACTAAACAATTACTTATTTCCTACATTTAATAACCCTTGTGAAAATTAAATTAAGTTAAAATAGTTGAATTTATTCAGAAAAAATAGATTTCCTATTACTGAAAGAGTTAAATGTGACTAAGAGGAATCCTTAACAATCTCCAAATCAATGTAATCAAACTAATATAAATCAGTCTAAAATGGTTTAAAGTAAATTACAAATTAATAAACACAATCCAATATCAAAAACTGACTATAAATACTTAATTTTATAAATCAGTACACCACAAAACTAAATGTACTTTTGCTGTTAAAGATATTTTTGGCCATATGAGGTTTAATACTGTGTTTAAAGTGACTTTTCTATTGTAATATTATAGGGTCTCCATATTACTAATTAGATCAGTTAAAATTAACCTTTATAAAGAATTTTAACCCTATCAGCACTGGTACCTATGCCAGACAATTATAACTGTTTTGTTGTAGTACCAACTCAAACATTTATTAAAAAACATTTCTACATGTGCACCAGTTTGTTTGAAAATATTAAAATGATATATTTTATAAATGGCACAATACTAGTACCTATGCCAGACAATTATAACTGTTTTGTTGTAGTACCAACTCAAACATTTATTAAAAAACATATTTCTACATGTGCACCAGTTTGTTTGAAAATATTAAAATGATATATTTTATAAATGGCACAATACTTTAAGTTTAGAGACAAATTTGGAAAATGCTACTTTCCAAAAAAAATTATACAATTTTTGTACTGAACTTTATAGAAAGCCGAGATTGTTTTTTTCAACCCCACATCTGAATATGCTGTAAACTCTTTTTTATGAATTGAGCCAAATTCTGGTCTGTCACATGGTATGCATGTGAACCACACATTATTTCCAAGCTCTGTGTGCACAAACTGCAATGGTATTAACATGGTATTGAGCCAATTGGCATTTTACTTTTCAAGCAATGTATGAGAAGTATGATACAACATAATTGATTTATCAAACACCCAAAACCATGTTCTTTTGAATGATTAAGCCAATATTTTATAAAAGTATTATATTAAGTTACAAATCATGAAATATCTTGGATGACAATTTAAATCTCAAAATTGCCCCCACCTTAAGGACACAATGTAACAATTTTTGGTGAGAAATGTAAAGGGGCTGTTATTACATCAACCTTATTTAAAATGATACTGAGAAGATTTTTAAAGATGACTGCCATTAATCAAACTTGATTAACTCTTTTTAGCCTAATAACTTGTATTTTGAACAAGAGAACATAGAATTAAATCGTCAAAGTTTCTGTCTTCTCTCCAACCTAAAACCACCTACAAAATAAAACTACATGAAATGTTCAGATTTGTATTTTGTTTTGAAATAAATTTTATAAAAACTTGCTCCATTGAAGTAATATCAATCCAAAATGTTAACCCTAGTTTTGATTCCCCCCCCCCCCCAAATTGTCATTCTTATTTTGGGAGTTCAAGGATCTAACTTCCCACATGTATAAATATAAATTGTCAAATATGAAACAATTAAGTTTGTGGTTTCTCTATACATTTCTGTTACTTATTTCCAGATTACATAATTTGAAAACAGCAAATTTTGAAATTTATAGTGTTGAAATCTGTAAAGTTTACTGCACTACCTTGTTTTACAATTTTCAAATTATTAAAGCTAAAAAAAATTATAAATATATCAAAAGAAAGTTAGCATTATTTTTTCTTTCTCCATTTATTTGCCACAGAGCTCCCTTTCTTCCTTATATAGATTTTAAGTTTAAAAATGTTTTAGTTAGTACAGATAGAAGCCTCTCTTTCATCACATGCCTTCAAAACAATTAAATTATATCATGGTTTTTAATTAATTTTACTGGTCCCCCTGCTTCTTATTTTCTTAAAATAATTACTTTTCCAGTTCTATTTTGCTTTACAAAAACTCCTACTGATAACATGAAACTATGTACTCCTAAGGCAGACTATGCTCTAGTATAATCTTAAGATGTATTAAAAAAGATAAATTTTATTGCAAAATGTCTTTCAAAAAGGTGGGCTAGCACATGACATTATTAAGCCTGTGGCTGTATTGCTGCTTTTAAAAAATGATTTTTTTTTGTTGAAAAGGATATAAAAATATATTCCAGATATTGAATACAAACTGTACTTTATGTGGTTATTAGTTATTTTTGTCAAATGAGTGAAATAATGTAAGATGAAAAGAAATATCAGTGAATCTTGAGTCACAGAAACTGCATAGTCTGTAGGGCTAGTGTATGTGTGTAAAACATGTCTTTCAGGTAAACGATTGCAGGTATACGGTGTACTAAACTGCATAAAATATGGCTATATTTTATCCTATAGCCACTTTCATTTCATTATAAATGATACATTTACAAAGAAAAAAAAATCTAACTTACAATCAAAAACTTTCAATGGTTACCATAACATTTGTGAGATATTAATTCTCATAAATTCAAGTGCAAAAACAGCAGTATACTAGTAGCTGGCTTTAAACTTGGCTGCTATGAAACAATTTTGTTTAATGCATCTCTTTTCGAACAACTTTAAAGATACATTCCCTTACTAAGTTTGTAACTTTTCATACAGTACTTTAATACTTGCCTTAAAAGCAATGTTTTTTGAAATAATAAGTACAAACTATAGTACTTACCTGGACACATCTTTAGCATTCCACACAGAGTACCTGGTTTTAACTCTCTAGCAATCATTGTTAAAATAAGTTCACTGTAAGTGTCAACAAACTTCTTGCAAGTTGAACTTTTAGATTCAGGAAGTTCTGAACACAATTTGTCAAGAACTTTTCTAATTTCTTCCTAATTTGAGAGATATAAAAGCCATTTGAAAATAAAGAGATCATGTATTAACTTTCTAAACCATTATACTTAATTTGTATCAAATTGTAGTTACAGAGGGGAAAGAAAAATAATTAGAAATCTTAAATTAACTTAAATGGAAAAAAATATTATAAAACTACAATTAGCATTCCACTGCCTCAAAATCTCCTTACAGTTACTGACAATATAGTCTAATGGATATATATATATATATATATATCCAATGACAGATAAATAATAATTCAAATATATGCAAATCTTTCACAAAATGAGATAAATGTTTTGCAATTATTAAGTTGCCACAGTAATTTTCAATCTTCTTTCCCCCATGATACAAGGAAACAACTAGCAGATATGTTAAGTCTTATTTCACGGTGAAATATTTTTCCAGTTTCAAACAAATTCAAATCTAAAAACAAAATGTTGAATGCTTTTAAGATCATTTATTGCTAATTATCTGTTTTTTTGGTTTTTTCAAGATATTTTCCAAAATAAAGTTTTGAAATCAAACTAGAGAAATTCATTTAAGTGTGTACAAGAATTTGTAGAAGTAAAACTTTTTTTTTTTTTGTTCATGAGAGATGACATCAACTTTTATACCTCAGTTGATTCTTCTGACAGCTGTTCTTCCAAGTAGCCAGTAATTATTTTGCATACTTCACATTCAGTTTTGTCAAATCCAGAAACCAGATGTAAACTAATTTTATTCCCTATAAAAAACAGATTTGTACAGTTATTTTCACACAACAATTTACAAGTAGTTAATTTCACACAGAATCTGATCATTCCTGTTATCAGTTACAAACACTGAAATTAAAACAGATCCCTATCATTGCTACAACCAGTTTTAAACTTTGAAGTTAATGCTGATCCTTATTACTTTTATCATTATTATCACTATTAAAACCAGATATACAAATAATGAAGACTGTGTGAAAAAAAATTATTTCCTTCCTAATTTTAATGATTACTGAGAAAATAAACAACTCGTTTCTAATACTTACAATCCTTAATTTTTATTTTATTTTTCTATACAAATGAAGAAAACTGGTGCAGTCTTGATATTAAACCTCACCAAGGAAAATAATGCTACACAAATATTTTCTTAAGGAATTTGAAATAAAATTAATGTTACAGCCATCTTCATAAAGAAAGTTTTAGATATTTGTTGAATTTATTTATAAACTTTTATGAAAAACTAAATACCAGGACAGAGTTTCAAAGCTTCACAGACTGTGTTTGGGTCAAGTTCTTGCACCAAAAGTGTAATGATAATATCTGCGTACTCATTCACAAAATCATCACATTCTTTTGACAATGACTGTGGTAGTACAGAGCAAACTTTCTCCAAGGCTGTTTTAATTGCTTCCTGAAAAATTAAACCATTTTTCTATGTAGAAATCATCCATTACAGCATGTCACAGAACAAAAAATTTCATAAATTGAGTATAAAATAACTTGGATACAATAAATACAAACTAATAGATTAAAATATTTCATGCTCGTAGTTATATAATTAAAAATTTTAATTGTTGGTTATATTTATTTTTGTAATACAATAATCACTTTTATTTGCAATTTGCCATTTTGAATATCTTTAAATTGATTAAAAAATATGATTACATTGCAAAATATTTTTGCCTGTTTACAAGAAAAAAGAACAGATAAAGATTTTGAACTGTATCAATATTTTCTCTTTCACAGGATTTGAATTGACATCAACTTGATACTTCAACAAACATTAGGTATAAATGTCAAACAAATGAAACTAATGTGAATTCTCCTAAAAAACTAAATTACTGCAAAAATTTTAACAAATTAATTACAAGACTTCTTTTAACTCTACGATTATTTTTTTAATTTAAATTCAAAATACTAATGAAGGTACTAAGAACCATTAGAAGTTATTCATTATGCTAAGTAATAGGCAGTAAAGTTGAATGATCAATATGACAATCATAAGCACAATCAATAATGTACCAAAAACTACTTAGAAAAAAAAGCATGTATTTCATTGATGAACATGAAAAAATGTAACATATTAAAAGATATATATATTTCTCAAAGACAAATAAGCTATTCAGATGGAAAAGGAGACTTTTTAATATGTCAATCTTGGGTGTAAAATGATATATATATATATATATACCTAAAAAAATGGGATTGTGAATAATCACTCTTAATTTAGAAAGTTTCACCACTGCATGAAAACAGGAGTAACTACAAACACAACTGACAAATACATACACAATATTATTTAAAACTAACAAATGTCCCAAAATAAGTTAACACATTCATTGAAGTGCAGTTATTGTAAAAAACACAAGTATTAAATAAATGAAATTAACAGTATTCTTGTTATTATTTCAATGTACATTTGC